GGTGCAAGACAACTAAAAGCTGATTTACCTAACTCAGTAGAGACCAAAGGAATTTCCAGAGTTAGCCATCCCTGAAACCGGGTGTGGTAACTCATATGTTTAAAGTTTAGTAATGATGTTAGGTACAGTGAGAATTTGTGTAAAATAGCTTTATAAATGAAAGCATAGCCATGTATCAACCTACGTGACATCAAAGAGGGCCAACCAACTTGCAGTGATGAGTACTAAAATCGCCACCCGTAATAAAGCGCAGTGCGCTATGATAAACTGCATCTAACGGCTTTAATGAAGTGGCAGCTGCGTTCATATAGATGATGTGGCCATAGTCTAGGACCGATAGGAACGTCGACTGAATAACCTGCTTTCTACTATTTAGCGAGAGGCAGGACCTATTTCTTTAGAAGAAACCCATTTTTATTCTCAGCTTCTCAACTAACTCATCAATATGCTTTTTAAAAGACAGCTTTTCATCTATCCAGATGCCCAGATATTTGTAAGCAGGGACACGATCAATATGGACACCATCCAAAGTACATATGCTTAAATCATCAGACTTATTTTCATGCGCTCTAGAGAACAACATATACTTAGTTTTACCTGCATTCAATACTCATTTCAGGTCAATCGACTTTTTCTGTAATACAATGAAGGCAGACTGTAGTTCAGATAGAGCCTGGTCAACCGTGGGGGAATAGCACACACAACAGTATCATTGGCATACAAGTGCACGTTACAAGTCAATATTGTTAATATGAACAGTAAAAAGTACAGGACCTAGAATCGACCCCTGGGGGACACCTTTCATAATTTCCAGGAAACCTGATTTAACACCATCAGTAGATGTACATTGAGTTCTGTCAAGTAATTTTTAAACCAGTTACATGCAGCCAGATCTAGGCCAATTGAGGAAAGCTTCTGAATTAGTAGTGAATGATCAACAGTATCGAAAGCCTTTGGCAGGTCAATGAAGTGGGAAGCACAATGTTGCCTTTTATCCATACAGTTAACCACTTCATTTATAACTAAGGATGCAGCAGAGATACTGCTATGACCTGAGAATTGAATTAATCAAGGATTCTAATATTTTAGCTAGGCAAAAAGTTTAGAAATAGGCCAATAATTATTTAGTTCACAAGGGTCACCACCTTTGTGAAGGGGGACTACATGGGACGCCTTCCAAACCTTTGGGATAGTACCAGATATATAATTGTCAGGTTAAAAATATGGGTTAATGATTCAGCAATCAGGAGGGAAGAGAGCTGCTGCCAAAAATGGATCAAGCATATCAGCCCCAGTGGATTTTTTTTTACATCAATCTTAAGCGAGGCATCTAGCACATCACAAATAGTAAATTGTGTAAATGAAAACAAAGACTCACTAGAAGTTGACGGGTTAACCGTTGAGTCAGCTAGAGCCTGGCAGAGGGAAGAGCAGTCGGTTGACTGACCAGGGTCAACTACACCATCTTTTCTCTCAAATAAGAAGCCAACCAAGATAAAATGATGATTAAAAGCATCACTTATCCAATTCTTCTCAGTTATAATGCCAGAGTCAGACAGAACCTTGCTTAGGCAGGGAAGAGGAGGAATGTGTACGCTTCAGTGTATTTACTGTTTTCAGAAATTTAGAAGGATCACCAGCAGAGTCTGAGATAGAGCTTAAAAAGTAGCTTGATTTAGCTTTCTTAATCGAGATACTACATCTGTTTCTCAATTGTCTGAAAGATTGCCAGTCCACTACGGAGTCAGTTGTCCTTGAATTGGCCCAGGCCTGATTTCTCATATGAATGAGCTCAGAGAACTCAGAAGAAAACCAAGGGTTCAATCTATCTTTGACTCTGAATTGTTTAAAAGGGGCGTGTTTATCTGCTACAGGAATAAATATGGAGGAGACATTTTCTAGAGCCAACTCATGGTCAGGAATATAGGAGACAGTGGTTAAATCAGAGTAGAACATGTCATGTAAAAACCCTTAAGCAGAAAACTGCTAAATGTCTCTTCTTAATTAAATGAGGATTAGTATTTTGCTGTTTCGTACCTCTTAATACATACTATGGGACAATAATCACTGAGATCATATGCAAATACTCCACTAGACAAATATTTATGGGGGTTATTAGTAAGAATTAAATCAATCAATGAAGTGTAAACAGGGTTTTTTACGTTTAGTCATGTGGGTTTTGAGATCAATTGAGTCAGATAAAAATCAATGCATATAATCTTAAATTGATCTGAGGCTGGGGATAGCCAATCCAGAGTCAAATCCCCTAAAATGACCAACTCCGAGGACAGAAAACGTATTAAACACTCAGATATAGCAAAAATAGCATCCGCCATGGCAGCAGGGGGGCAGTACATCCCAGCAACAAATAAATGTGTTTTCTGGTTTATCTACAACCAGGAGGTCAAATGTATTGGGAAAATATTTTAAGATTGGGACGCCATGAAAGATTTTACATATATGGCCACACCTTCCCTTACTGTAATCTGTCACATCTAAATACATTATAATAATTTACTTCAATTTCTTTATCAGAGAAAGAACCATTTAACCATGTTTCCAAGTTAACCAGAATGTCAGGACATGAGTCCTGTAACCAAATGTCAATTGTGTCCATTTTTTAAATCACACTCATGGTATGGTGGGGTATGCAAAACAGGTCAACTTTGAGCACCTTTATAAATAATAATATGCCATTTAGCAGACGCTTTTATCCAAAGCGACTTACAGTCATGCGTGCATACATTTTTGTGTATGGGTGGTCCTGGGGATCGAACCCACTACCTTGGCGTTACAAGCGCCGTGCTCTACCAGCTGAGCTACAGAGGTTTATCTCTTAAATGTTTTGTCATTCAGCTCCAAAAAGTCACTTTCTGAGCACTTTGACAATTGGCAAATATGTATGGAAGGTTTCATTCAAATCAAAAGGGGTGCTGTCAAAAAACGGATTGAATTCTAATGGATTTATCCTGATGTCAGTCTGTTTTATTAATGGTTGAAGTGAAGGAGAAGCTTTATAAACTTTGTTGCTTTATTCTTAACAGGAACATCTTGTTAGCAGACAGGCAGATGCAACTGCACTCAGAACGTGTTTGGGCTGCGCCCCAATACTCTAACAATGATTAGCAGTACTGCAGACCGATGCTGAAAATGAAGTAAAATAAACTTTACTCTAAAAAAGTATGTTCGACTACCGTGGTCTTCCGTGCAATTAGATCTAAAAATATATTGGAAGTAGCCAATGAACCGATCATAAACAAAATATAATAATGTTTGTGTGTGTCGCGCAAACTCATTTCTGGGATTGGTTATTATGATGGTGCATTTAATACAGTGGGGGAAAAAGTATTTAGTCAGCCACCAATTGTGCAAGTTCTCCCACTTAAAAAGATGAGAGAGGCCTGTAATTTTCATCATAGGTACATGTCAACTATGACAGAGAAAATGAGGAAAAAAAATCCAGAAAATCACATTGTAGGATTGTTAATGAATTTATTTGCAAAGTATGGTGGAAAATAAGTATTTGGTCAATAACAAAAGTTTCTCAATAATTTGTTATATACCCTTTGTTGGCAATGACACAGGTCAAACGTTTTCTGTAAGTCTTCACAAGGTTTTCACACACTGTTGCTGGTATTTTGGCCCATTCCTCCATGCAGATCTCCTCTAGAGCAGTGATGTTTTGGGGCTGTCGCTGGGCAACACAGACTTTCAACTCCCTCCAAAGATTTTCTATGGGGTTGAGATCTGGAGACTGGCTAGGCCACTCCAGGACCTTGAAATGCTTCTTACGAAGCCACTCCTTCGTTGCCCGGGTGGTGTGTTTGGGATCATTGTCATGCTGAAAGACCCAGCCACGTTTCATCTTCAATGCCCTTGCTGATGGAAGGAGGTTTTCACTCAAAATCTCACGATACATGGCCCCATTCATTCTTTCCTTTACACGGATCAGTCGTCCTGGTCCCTTTGCAGAAAAACAGCCCCAAAACATGATGTTTCCACCCCCATGCTTCACAGTATGTATGGTGTTCTTTGGATGCAACTCAGCATTCTTTGTCCTCCAAACACAACGAGTTGAGTTTTTACCAAAAAGTTATATTTTGGTTTCATCTGACATTCTCCCAATCCTCTTCTGGATCATCCAAATGCACTCTAGCAAATTTCAGATGGGCCTGGACATGTACTGGCTTAAGCAGGGGGACACGTCTGGCACTGCAGGATTTGAGTCCCTGGCGGCGTAGTGTGTTACTGATGGTAGGCTTTGTTACTTTGGTCCCAGCTCTCTGCAGGTCATTCACTAGGTCCCCCGTGTGGTTCTGGGATTTTTGTTTTTCTTGTGATCATTTTGACCACACGGGGTGAGATCTTGCGTGGAGCTCCAGATCGAGGGAGATTATCAGTGGTCTTGTATGTCTTCCATTTCCTAATAATTGCTCCCACAGTTGATTTCTTCAAACCAAGCTGCTTACCTATTGCAGATTCACTCTTCCCAGCCTGGTGCAGGTCTACAATTTTGTTTCTGGTGTCCTTTGACAGCTCTTTGGTCTTGGCCATAGTGGAGTTTGGAGTGTGACTGTTTGAGGTTGTGGACAGGTGTCTTTTATACTGATAACAAGTTCAAACAGGTGCCATTAATACAGGTAACGAGTGGAGGACAGAGGAGCCTCTTAAAGAATAAGTTACAGGTCTGTGAGAGCCAGAACTCTTGCTTGTTTGTAGGTGACCAAATACTTATTTTCCACCATAATTTGCAAATAAATTCACAAAAATCCTACAATGTGATTTTCTGGATTTTTCTTTCTCATTTTGTCTGTCATAGTTGACGTGTACCTATGATGAAAATTACAGGCCTCTCTCATCTTTTTAAGTGGGAGAACTTGCACAATTGGTGGCTGACTAAATACTTTTTTTCCCCACTGTATGTAATGTAGTGGTTTCAATGCATATTAGCTTTTTTGTTTGTCCCACCAATATTTGTATGTTAAAATTGTCATTGCTTCTCAGACCCGGCTCACAGCACAGAGCTGGTGAGGTGAAGGATTGAGGGTGAAACCCAGTAATGGTGTGAGGTCCAGATCATCCTCTGTTACTCCAGGAGGAGGAGAGAAACTAAAGTGCTGCAGGAGGGAGGTGAAGAAGAGGAAGAGCTCCATCCTGGCCAGACCCTCCCCCAGACACACCCTACGACCTGCGAGAGAGACCAAAGATATAGAAAATAGCATGAAGTCTGTCCAAAAGGCTACCACAATTTCTCTACTTCTTGCAATGAAATAATTTGTTATATGATGAAGTTGATATACCTGCAGAAAAGGCCATGAAGGTGTCCCTCTTGACAAATCGTCCCTGCTCATCCAGAAAGTGAGAGGGGTTAAAGGTGTGGGGGCTCTCCCATTCACTATCGTCCTGTAGGACGGACGTCAGTAGCGGAATCACAGACGTCCCCTGCAGTGAGAGTGAAGCTTAGGACCCCTTATTTTCAGAGTAAAAGTGATGAGTGATGAAACTTGGTTTAATAAATGTGCACACTCAAAAGGAGTGCACACTCAAAAGGAGTGGATTGCAATTTCAGGCAAAATTATATATGTTTTTAATGGCATGCCCATATTCCTATATTTCACAATAATGTGTTGTGATCTGGATGGAGGGCGGCTTTTTGCATCCCCCAAATTGTCCAAATGTGGTATCCGTACCCTTACCGATATCATGGACAGTAATGGTTTGAGATGCATACACATTACCAGGCAACTAACTTTTTCTATATTTATAACTATAGTCAGCTATGCTGGCCTATGGAGTCCCTTGAGAAACCCAACTACCGAACCATCCAGTGACGGGATTTATAAATAAATTATCTGGGCTCCCAAAAGGACTGATCTCTATAAACAACTTTTGGAAAGCTCATATTCTGAGATAGCCATTAAAAAAGTATGGTCCACAGATCTAATTCAATCTGAACAATCCTTTAACTGGAACAGAATAGAGAAAGATATGACCTTGGCATCCCGTAATCCGAACCATCAATTTATACAGGCGGGGTGGGAGGTATGGTTTCCAGGTGGGGAGAGAGGTTGCGGGCGGATGGATGGGGACAGAGGGGGGGAATGGGTTGGGGTTATCTTTGTATGCGTTTCTTTTATTGTTTTTTGAACCTGTAACCTCCCTTCGAAAAAAAAAAAGGCAATATGGAAAAAAACGTTTGGCACAAAATAAAACAGATTTGGACAGTCAAGTATCTGACCTTTTTGATTATATATCCCTGGAAGGTGACGTCTTGGCTGGTGGTGTGAGGGATGGCCATGGGTGCAATGTTGGCCAGTCTATGGGTCTCATGGATCACTGCATCAGCGTAGGGCAGGTTCTTCCTGTCCTCTACCAAGGGCTGACGACTTCCTATAACCCTGCTGATCTCCTCCTGGACCCGGTCTGAGACAGAAAGGAGGGAGGGGTTGGAGTTACTGCAGTGAAACGTACACTGAGTATACAAAACATTAAAAACACCTGCTCTTTCCATAACATAGACTGACCAGGTGAATCCAGGTGATCAAATAATGCAACTGATATCGATATAGATTTTGTATATCGGTGCCCATCATTAGTGATTATGTAACCATATTATATAAAATATTATTTGCAATTATATAGTTTGTACATTTTATTATTTTAGTCATTTAGCAGACGCTCTTATCCAGAGTGATTCACAGTTAGTACATTCATCTTAAGATAGCTAGGTGGGACAACCCCATATCACAGGCATAGTAAGTACACTTTTCCTCAATAAAGTAGCTATCAGCAAAGTCAGAGCTAGAAAGGGGGGGGGGGGGGGGGGGGGGGGGTCAGGTGATGGGGGGGTTTATTTAAGATACTTTTTGAAGAGGAAGAGTTTCAGGTGCTTTCGGAAGATGGGCAGGGACTCTGCTGTCCTAGCTTCAGGGGAAGCTGGTCCCACCATTGGGGTGCCAGGACAGAGAAGAGCTTAGACTAGGCTATAATGATTTTATTTGATATGTTATACGTATACATAATGAATATTGTATATAATGATTTATAAGCAGCTAAGTCATGGTTTATAAACTGTCCAATAATGGTTTATAATAAGTTTACTGGCACTTCAAATAAAGTGTAACTGAGTTTGTACATTTTTATTTGTAAGAATTCCTAACAGGTATTCTGTTTCCTAGTTGTATTGATTGCACTGAGACAGCCATTATTTATTTAGAAAATACAGTAAAAACAGAATGGCCTGAATGAGCAGACAATGACTACAATTCCTATTCATTTCGCTATATTTCCTATTCAAACTCATTTCATGTATGTTTTCATGGAAAACAATGAAATCTCTAAGTGACCCCAAACTTTTGAATGGTAGTGTATATTTTAAAAGTATGCCACATTTTTTCACAAAAGTAGGATACTGGGCCTTTAATAGTCCTCTATTAGAGGACCGATGTAGCCATCTGCAGGGCAGGGGGAAATGTTTTCATTTCCCCCCCTTAGTTTTATTGATTGCCCTGAAGTTTACTGGCACTTCAAATAAAGTGTAACTGAGTTTGTACATTTTAATTTGTAAGACTTGTGCTCTCGAGTGGCGCAGTGGTCTAAGGCACTGCATCGCAGTGCTAGCTGTGCCACTAGGAATCCAGGCTCTCTCGTAGCCGGCCGCGACCGGGAGATCCATGGGGCGGCGCACAATTGGCCCAGCGTCATCCAGGGTAGGGGAGGGAATGGCCGGCAGGGGATGTAGCTCAGTTGGTAGAGCATGGCGTTTGCAACACCAGGGTTGTGGGTTCGATTCCCATGGGGGGCCAGTATAACAAAATAATGTATGCACTCACTAACTGTAAGTCGCTCTGGATAAGAGCATCTGCTAAATGACTGTAAATGTAAATGTAATTCCTAACAGGTATTCTGTTTCCTAGTTGTATTGATTGCACTGAGACAGCCATTATCTATTTAGAAAATACAGTAAAAACAGAATGGCCTGAATGAGCAGACTGTACCTGAATTGATGCGGAGCCTGCAAGGTGTATACTCTCATTGGCCCTATCTGCCATGCCTGTGAATAGGGGGTCAGTGTATTCAAACCTGCTGCCATAGACAATGGCAATGTTGGAGACGGCATAAATCACAGGCTGTGCTGTGTCAAATGCCTTACCTGCGATAGACAAAACATCTAATCAATTACAAAATAAGCTTTCCAGAACCCACACGATCACATAGAAAGCCAAATAGCTGTTTACTAATAATATGGTTAAGAATAGCCAGATTTTTAACCAGGCAATTAGGCCTACACATCACCTATAAATACATCATGCTACTTCTACTACTACAGTGTAGAGATACCTATATTGCTCTTACCGTCATGTTTTTCAAACACTTCAATCAGATAAGGGATTTCCTCTAAGATTTTGTCTTCACTCCCTTTGTCACCCATCCCAAAGTCTCTAAGGTTCGTCAGGGCAAAGCGCCTCATCTCTTTCCATGAGTCTCCATTGGCAAACAGAATCCCTGTAAAGAAGGTAGTTCGTTTCCAATTCAAAGTGTAATAATAATAATAATAATAATAATAATAATAATATAGTAATATATACATTAATAAAATATATGCCATTTACTATAATATGCCTTTTAATAATTAACATGTACCAAGAAAATGTATAATCTGCCAAATTATCTCTGCACCCTTTCTGGTCATGATCATGTAACTATTTAAGACATCATATACATGTATATTATTTGCAGAGGATTAGAAGTGTCAGTGATGCTGTAGGTGGGTGTAGTGGTGGAATCAAGCGCAGGACACCGAAGTACAGTCCAAAAGACTTTAGTGTAATTCCACAAGGGAAAAAATGAACAAAGTGTCCCGAAGGCGAAACTCCGCACGTAGGCGGACAAAACAAACGGGCGCACTACACAGGTGCGTAAAACGCTCCAACACAGTGGAGAGATAGCTCAACCGAGCGAATAATGTAAACACGTCCAGTAACGCACGACAGACAATAAAGCAATCACACACAACACTGGACAAACACAACGTGTAACTTATAGGACGCTAATTAACCTAAACGATAACAGGTGTCACAACAAACAGACAAAAGCAAACGAACATAGAAACATGCAACGATGGCAGCTAGAATTCCGGAGACAACGAACGCCGAAGCCTGCCCGAACAAGGAAGAGAGGCAGCCTCGGCCGAAACCGTGACAGTACCCCCCCCCCTTGACGCGCGGCTCCAGACGTGCGCCGACTCCGGCCTCGGGGACGACCAGGAGGACGCGGAGCAGGGTGCGTCGGGTGCCCACGATGGAATTCCGTCAGGAGAGACGGGTCCAAAATGTCTCTCCTCGGCACCCAGCACCGTTCCTCCGAACCGTACCCCTCCCACTCCACTAGATATTGGAGACCCCCCATCCGACGTCTCGAATCCAAGATGGACCTCACGGAGTACGCCGGTGCCCCCTCGATGTCCAATGGGGGCGGAGGAGTCTCCCTGATCTCACTTTCTTGGAGTAGGCCAGCTACCACCGGCCTGAGAAGAGACACATGGAACGAGGGGTTAATACTTTTATATTCAACAGGTAGTTGTAACTTGTAACACACCTCGTTCAACCTTCTCAGGACTTTAAATGGCCCTACAAACCGCCGACCCAGTTTCCGACAGGGCAGGCGGAGGGGCAGGTTTCTGGTAGAGAGCCAGACTCGATCACCAGGTGCGTACACCGGTCCCTCACTGCGGTGGAGATCGGCGCTCGCCTTATGACGACGGAGGGCCCGCTGCAGGTGGACGTGTGCAGCGTTCCATGTCTCCTCCGAGCGCCGCGCCCACTCATCCACCGCAGGAGCCTCGATCTGGCTCTGCTGCCAAGGTGCCAGAACCGGCTGGTAACCTAACACACATTGAAAAGGGGTTAGGTTAGTGGAGGAGTGGCGTAGGGAATTCTGGGCCATCTCGGCCCAGGGAACGTACCTTGCCCACTCCTCCGGCCGGTCCTGGCAGTATGTTCTAAGAAACCTACCCACATCCTGGTTCACGCGTTCCACCTGCCCATTACTCTCCGGGTGGTAACCCGAGGTGAGGCTCACCGAGACCCCCAACCGCTCCATAAAGGCTCTCCAAACCCTGGAGGTAAATTGGGGACCTCGATCAGACACAATATCCTCGGGTACCCCGTAGTGCCGGAACACATGGGTAAATAGTGCTTCGGCAGTTTGCAGGGCAGTAGGAAGGCCCGGCATGGGGAGCAGACGACAGGCCTTAGAAAACCGGTCCACAACGACCAGTATAGTGGTATTTCCCTGTGAAGGAGGAAGGTCAGTAAGGAAATCCACCGAGAGGTGAGACCATGGTCGTTGTGGAACGGGCAGGGGTAGTAACTTACCCCTAGGCAGATGTCTAGGCGCCTTACACTGGGCGCACACCGAGCAGGAGGAAACATAAACCCTCACATCCCTTGCCAACGTGGGCCACCAGTACTTGGCACTAAGACAGTGCACTGTCCGGCCGATACCAGGGTGTCCAGAGGAGGGTGACGTGTGAGCCCAATAGATCAATCGATCCCGAACCTCGAGCGGAACGTACTTCCGACCCTCCGGGCATTGCGGTGGACTAGGGTCGGTGCGTAACGCCCGCTCGAGCTCAGCATCGACCTCCCACACTACCGGTGCCACCAGACACGACTCCGGCAGTATGGGAGTGGGCTCCACGGACCTCTCCTCCGTGTCATACCGCCGAGACAGCGCATCTGCCTTACCGTTCTGTGACCCAGGGATGTACGTGATCTTAAATGTAAACCGGGTCAAAAACATATTCCATCTTGCCTGGCGAGGGTTCAGCCTCCTCGCTGCCCGGATGTACTCCAGGTTACGGGGGTCCGTCAAAATGAGGAAAGGGTGTTGAGCCCCCTCAAGCCAGTGCCTCCACACCTTTAGGGCCTGTACCACGGCTAACAGCTCCCTGTCCCCTACGTCATAGTTTCGCTCCGCCGGACTGAGCTTCTTAGAATAAAAAGCACAGGGGCGGAGTTTAGGTGGCGCGCCTGACCGTTGTGAAAGCACGGCTCCTATACCGGCCTCAGACGCGTCCACCTCTACCTGAAATGGCAAAGAGGGATCCGGATGCGCCAGCACCGGGGCCGAGGTAAACAGGTCCTTCAGCCTCCCAAACGCCCTGTCCGCCTCGGCAGACCACTGCAGACGCACCGGACCCCCCTTCAAAAGAGACGTGATGGGAGCTGCCACCTGTCCAAAACCCCGGATAAACCTCCGGTAGTAATTCGCAAACCCCAAAAACTGCTGCACCTCCTTCACAGTGGTTGGTGTTTGCCAATTACGCACGGCTGACACCCGGTCTACCTCCATCTTCACCCCTGATGCAGACAACTGATACCCCAAAAAGGAGACCGACTCCTGGAAAAACAGACACTTCTCTGCCTTAACATACAGGTTGTGCTCCACCAGCCTCCGCAACACTCTGCGCACCAGGGCCACATGCTCGACTCGGGTAGGCGAGTACACGAGAATGTCATCTATGTACACAACCACCCCCTGCCCCTGCATGTCCCTGAAGATCTCATCCACGAATGATTGGAAAACTGACGGAGCGTTCATCAACCCGTATGGCATGACCAGATACTCGTAATGGCCCGAGGTGGTACTAAAGGCTGTCTTCCATTCATCGCCCTCCCTGATGCGCACCAAGTTGTACGCGCTCCTGAGATCTAATTTAGTGAAGAAACGCGCCCCATGCAATGACTCCGTCATGGTCGCAATCAGCGGGAGTGGATAACTGTACTTCACCGTGATCTGATTGAGACCACGGTAATCGATGCACGGGCGTAACCCACCATCCTTTTTCTTCACAAAAAAGAAACTCGAGGACGCAGGGGAAGTGGAAGGCCGTATGTATCCTTGTCTCAGAGATTCGTCTATGTAAGTCTCCATAGCTTTCTTCTCCTCCTGAGACAGAGGATACACATGGCTCCGTGGGAGCGCAGCTCCTGCCTGGAGGTCTATCGCACAATCTCCCTGCCTATGGGGCGGCAACTGCGTCGCCCTCGACTTACTAAACGCAATAGCCAAATCCCCATACTCAGGGGGAACGTGCAATGCGGGCACCTGGTTTGGACTCTCCACCGAGGTAGCCCCTACGGAAACGCCCAAACATCGACCCACACACTGGGCAGACCACTCCATCAGAGCCCTCTCCTGCCATGAAATAGATGGGTTATGGGTACTCAACCAGGGCATGCCCAGCACCACCGGATACGCAGGCGAGTCGATCAGAAATAGCTGAATCATCTCCTGATGACCCCCCTGTGCACACATCCTAAGTGGCGCAGTGACCTCCCTGATCAAGCCCGCACCCAACGGACGGCTATCTAGGGCATGAACGGGGAAAGGGACTTCAACAGGGAGACGGAGGATCCCTAAGGCTAAACAAAACGTCTTATCAACAAAATTCCCAGCCGCGCCTGAATCTACCAGCGCCTTATGCTGGGAATGAGGTGCTACCTGTGGGAAACGCACAGGTATACAGAAATGTGCAACAGAGAGCTCTGGGTGAGTGGGGCGCCTACTCACCTGGAAGGACTCCCCAGTGCAGGACCTGTCGTCCTCTCCCCTAGGAGGCCATCCCCAGCACCTAGCCGCGGTGTGTCCTCCCCGACCACAGTTGGTGCAGGAGATGGACCCCCTCATCAGCCGACCCCTCCTCTCTCTAGCGCCAGCGCCCCCGAGCTCCATGGGGCACGGCTCGGAGGCGCTGGAGGGTGAAATGGACGGACCCCCCTCGGAACGTCCGCGGGTAGCTAGCAGGTTATCCAGCCTGATGGACATGTCGACCAACTGGTCGAACGAGAGGCTGGTGTCCCTACAGGCCAGCTCCCTACGGACGTCCTCGCGTAGACCACATCTGTAGTGATCGCTGAGAGCCCGCTCATTCCACCCTGCATCCGCCGCTAGAGTACGGAATTCTAAGGCGAACTCCTGGGCACTCCTCTTCCCCTGCCGGAGGAAGACCAGACGCTCCCCCGCCGCTTTCCCCTCCGGGGGATGGTCGAACACCGCCCTGAAGCGGCGGGAGAACTCGTCGTAGGTGATGGTGTCCGCGTCGATCCTCCTCCACTCTGCGTTGGCCCATTCCAACGCCTTCCCGGAAAGGCAGGAGATCAGGGCGGACACGCTCTCATGTCCCGAAGGCGCCGGGTGCACGGTGGCCAGGTAAAGCTCCACCTGGAGAAGGAATCCCTGACACCCGGCCGCGGTCCCATCGTAGGCCCTCGGGAGCGAGAGTCGAACTCCTCTGGCTTCCGGAGCGGGAATGGGCTGACTTGCCGATGGTGCTGGCAGAGAGGATGGCGGTGGAGGAGTCCCCCAGCCTCGGATGGTGGTGATCACCTCCTGCAGTGCGGACCCCATCTGCAGGATCTGGTCACTCTGTTCTCGGACCCTGTCCTCCAGCGTCGCCTGGGCTGCTGCGGCTCCTGCTGATTCCATTCTTGATGGTGTGTGATTTTGTCAGTGATGCTGTAGGTGGGTGTAGTGGTGGAATCAAGCGCAGGACACCGAAGTACAGTCCAAAAGACTTTAGTGTAATTCCACAAGGGAAAAAATGAACAAACTGGCCCGAAGGCGAAACTCCGCACGTAGGCGGACAAAACAAACGGGCGCACTACACAGGTGCGTAAAACGCTCCAACACAGTGGAGAGATAGCTCAACCGAGCGAATAATGTAAACACGTCCAGTAACGCACGACAGACAATAAAGCAATCACACACAACACTGGACAAACACAACGAGTAACTTATAGGACGCTAATTAACCTAAACGATAACAGGTGTCACAACAAACAGACAAAAGCAAACGAACATAGAAACATGCAACGATGGCAGCTAGAATTCCGGAGACAACGAACGCCGAAGCCTGCCCGAACAAGGAAGAGAGGCAGCCTCGGCCGAAACCGTGACAAGAAGAAGAACATTTGATGGAATTGTGGAAACAGCCTGATCTCTGCATTCACCATTCTAGTCTGAAATGTCAGAAATTTGTGGTTTTATTCAAAACGAACTTGTCAGCAATTGGATCACTTTCAACAAATCAGAGGACAGCCTAATTCAAGCACAGTATTTGGCAACCTTGGTTTTTGTCCTAAACCCAACCACTGTTTCTGAGAGGGCGCTGATTGGACCAGCTATTTTCTGGTTTATTCCAAACGCCCATCTTTTCGAGAAAGAAAAGGTTAATAAATGCAGTAAAACAAAATGGTGAATGCAGCAATCAAGCTGGTTCCATCAGGCTAAAATAAGACTTTTAAGAGCTTGTAATGCATTTCATATCCAACTCATCTCAAAGTGTCTGAAATTGATTGTGTAGCTCAATAAAGTTGCTTTAAAGTAAATGTCCAGTGAAAATCTCACTTTTAAAAGTTCATATTCTGTTAACTCATACCCACATAATGTTGTTGACTCATCCTATACTTGCATTTGTGGCCAAAGCATAAATTGGAGAACAAACAAATGCATGGATTGCTGTCTTAGCTTGTTCATAGACTGCTTACAGGGTAAGGGAACCAATTAGACATGTTGTAATTTGAGTGAACTATCCCTTTAAGAATAAGAGTAAAATATCATTACCATGTCCTTGTTTGAAATCATAGAAAACAGGAGTGATATCCCTGTCCCCAAAGTCCTCTGCCTGGTTGACCAGTGCCTGCTTGACCGTCTTGTATCCAGCCAGAACAACCACTTTCTTGGGTCCAAAGTGAACCGTGAAGATGGAGCCATATTTATTGGCGAACTGGACAGATAAAGCATACATAAAGTATACCATAGACTCAGTTATGTCTCGTAATGATATATGAATAAGCACAAAACTGGCTTGTTTGACATGTTTCAGTCAAGAAACAGCGTGAAGACAGTGGTTTACAGTTGAAGTCAGACCTAGGTTCAAATACTATTCACTGTAATTTAATTACTTACAAAAACATTTAGCATTTAGACTAAGTTTCTTATTGGAAATACATTTGGAAAGTATTGGCATGTAATGTATTTTCAACTACTTGTCTTTTATTTGAAGTAGTTGTTTTCGGCTGTGTATTAGAAAATACTAAAAAACACAGAAAAGTGTCAAAAATGTATTTGAACCCAGGTCTGTTTTGTTAATAAGATCCCTGAAGGGATATTCTCAGGGTGCATCTCAATAGTCTAAAGTGGCCTCTCATCTCTTTGCTTGCAATGCTTCGATCACCGTCACAAAGTATTTTGTCCATAGCCTGGTCCCAGCAAAAAACTGATATGGGACCATGCTACTTGGGCAGGACATATCTATTGAAATACACTACAGAATAGAACATTAAACAACATTAACCAGCTAAAAGCATGTACAATGTGCGGAAGTCCATTATATCAGAAGCTTACTAAACTTTTCAAACCTGGTGAAATAGCAAGAAAACTATAAAAGTGAGATGAAACAGATAAAATCTCACAGATCATATCAACAACCTCAACATGGTTCTCTGAAAGCAACGCAGGACTTCTTCTTACCTCACAGAGAGTGTGATAGGGCTCCTTGAGATCCAGCTGGAGCATGTTGCCAAGCAGGGGCAGCGGCCTGGGTCCTGGAGGCTCCTTCCCCTGTTCCTCAGCGCTGGAACCAGAAGAACGGAGGTAGAGGACAAGGAGAAACAGCACAGCCCCCAGCAATGTCACCGTGCTTGATGTCTGGAGAAGACCTTCTATAAGAGACATCTTCAAACTGAGCTGTTAAACCTTATACTGGGCTAAAAAGACACAACACACTATGCTCTGTTATGGAACAAGTGTTTGTGCTCAGAGAACTTCCACGACAACAGCTTCCCCAAGGAATGCTATTTGTATAACCTCCCCATCCCACCCTATTGGGGCAGGATGAGAAGAGGGATGGTACAACCTCAGAGGAGGAGCTAAATATTGCAACTATCATATAATTGTGAAACTCACATGAACTCACCTGCAGGTCATTGACAAACTCTCCATATGATTTGTTTTCTGGTCTTTCCAAAAACTGTAATACATCGAAAAGCATTTATATGCCCGGAGAAATGGAATGAGGGAAACCATTTTTTACAATTATGCTGATAGACTAGATTGACACAACTTTATTCCATCACCAGATGGATGGTGAGGGCTATATAGGTAAAATGAGGTTAAATCTAATCATATTTGGGATTTGATTGTGTTACTAAAGATCTTCAGAAATCCCCCTCCGTTGTCCATATACTTTGAAAACTCTATAAACATCATATGAAAAAGTTAATAAATTACTGATTGACATATATTTCCATCTCCAATCATATATAATAACTTTTTAGCCACTTGAAGGTGTTCCACATTTGACGTTTTATTTGTTTAGTGTGAGTCAATGTAGATCAGGTAAATGGTCTGGTAAAACTATCTGCAGTGCAGACAGTGGGAGAAAGAACAGGTCAGGCAGGAACCCGATGATCCCTCTGCCGCTTGAGGTTACAAAGGTCAGTTTACACATTCCAAAGACAGAATACATTTCCAATCTCTGTAAAAGTCTGAAAACCTCTTCTTGAATAGAGTGAAGCATAACACAAGTCACCTTAGCCCTACATATACAGATAGTTTATTAAAATACAATATTAAAAAAGTATGCTTTTTCATCATAGTCCTATATTTATTTGTATATTGCGTGTACTCTAAGGCAGAAGTCTACCCAAGAACGATTACGTTTGAATTACATTTAATTTTAATTGGGATTTTAGAGGATTTGAGTGGAAATCTGCTGCCCCACCCTCCCATTCTCGATGGGTTAGTATGTCTTATCTCTCCTTAAACTTGATAAAATGAGGTTCACTACCCAAGGCGCTACTGACAAATCTAGAAAGGTATGGCAGGCTTTCATCTCATTTGTAATAAGATCCACATCTCTGGCTATTGAGTGACTATAGATAATTTAGGTTAGGAACCTAAAGGTGTCCGTGCAAATCTATAGGTGAATGAGATACATGTGTTCTTTACACAGCTAATCAGAGAAGTATTTGTGAGAAAAAAAAGTATGACTGTGTATATACACTGAGTATACAAAACATTAAGAACACCTGATCTTTCCATGACATAGACTGACCAGGTGAATCCAGGTGAAAGCAATGATCCCTTATTGACTTCAAGCACTTCAATCAGTGTAGATGAAGGGGAGGAGACAGGTTAAATAAGGATGTTCAAGCCTTGAGACAATTGAGACATGGGTTGTGTATGTGTGCCATTCAGAGGGTGAATGGGCAAGACAAAATATTTAAGTGCCTTTGAATGGTGTATGGTAGTAGGTTCCAGGCACACCGGTTTGTGTCAAGAACTGCAACGCTGCTGGGTTTCCCGTGTGTATCAAGAATGGTCCACCACCCAAAGGACATCCAGCCAACTTCACACAACTGTGGGAAGCATTGGAGTCAACATGGTCCAGCATCCCTGTGGAATGCTTTCGACACCTTGTAGAGTCCATGCCCCAATGAATTTAAGCTGTTCTGAGGGCAAAACATGTTCTCTGTTTTGCTCTATGGCCTCCAGAAGCCCCACGGAACTCATCTGAAGGTAACCCATACAAATGAATGTTAGTATGGAGGTAGTTTTGTGGCAACAAAAATAAGGGGTTGAATATGTGTCAAAAAAAAACTACATTTTCCTGAGCTTTCTTATATCTCCTAGATATAGGACAGACACTTCAAAACCTTATTCCTTGTAATAAAATGTTTTGATACCTAAAGCGGTCTTAAAATTCAAAATCAAATAGCTATAGAATCCAGGTGAAAGGTATGATCTCTTATTGATGTCACTTGTCACTTTTGGAGAAATGTCCTCTGGTCTGATGAAACAAATATAGAACTGCTTGGCCATAATGACCATAGTTATGTTTGGAGGAAAACCTTGCAAGCCGAAGAACACTATACCAACCGTGAAGCACGGGGTGGCAGCATCATGCTGTGGGGGTGCTTTGCTGCAGGAGGGACTGGTGCACTTCACAAAATAGATGGCATCATGAGGAAGGAAAATTATGTGGATATATTGAAGCAACATCTCAAGACATCAGTCAGGAAGTTAAAGCTTGGTCGCAAATGGGTCTTCCAAATGGACAATGACCCCAAGCATACTTCCAAAGTTGTGGCAAAATGGCTTAAGGACAACAAAGTCAAGGTATTGGAGTGGCCATCAATAAGCCCTGACCTCAATCCTATAGAAAATGTGTGGGCAGAACTGAAAAAGCGTGTGTGAGCAAGGAAGCCTACAAACCTGACTCAGTTACACCAGCTCTGTCAGGAGGAATGGGCCAAAATTCACCCAACTTATTGTGGGAAGCTTGTGGAAGGCTACCCGAAACGTTTGACCCAAGTTAAACAATTTAAAGGCAATGCTACCAAATACTAATTGAGTGTATGTAAACTTCTGACCCACTGGGAATGTGATGAAAGAAATAACAGCTGAAATAAATCCTTCTCTCTACTATTATTCTGACATTTCACATTCTTAAAATAAAGTGGTGATCCTAACTGACCTAAGACAGGGAACTTTTACTAGGATTAAATGTCAGGAATTGTGAAAAACTAAGTTTAAATGTATTTGGCTAAGGTGGATGTAAACTTCCGACTTCAACTGTATATGATCTGTCTCAATGTAATCAAGGTATGAAATTATTATGGTATTGTCAAATATAATATCTGCTTGGGCTCACTTGCGGTCAGTGTGCAATGTAAAAATGATAACAATTATGTTCAGGCCCAATGACCATCTGCTCAAGAAAAAACCATCCTGCGGCTAAACGTAGATGCCTACCCTCCTGGTCTAACCAGTGTGGAAATACACTTTTGGCCCAAACTCTCTCCTCTGCAATATTGCCTCAAAAATTGCCGGTGTATCATGGGCTTCCGATGTGCTGCCATTATGGGTGGCTGATTACGTCCAAACTCGGCAAACAACACACAACAGTCGAAACGTAGGTTACTTTCTGTCAAAAAGGTGTGATTGCTGAGGGTTGTGAAACAGGGTTATTTAACATATGATGTAAAGTCTGGTAGAACCTGACCCAGGAGGCAGGACTTAAATCCTGCCTGTGATCATTGACAATTCTTAATCCTACATAGCTCCCTGTTAACCAGCAAGTGAATAGACAACTTGTCTCAAAAGAGCTAGGGGGAAGTTGGAGAAGAAATGGTATAGAGGAGGTGTGTTACTTTTTGGAACAGTCTTTTCACTCACGGGGTACAGTAGACCCCCCCCAGAAGCCTCTGCAAGGGTCTATCTTTTGATATCTATATGAGCAAGGCATATCATAGCGGTTTATCCTTGCTGTTAACCTACACTATATATTACATTACTGTTCATGTAGGCACAAAACTCTCTCACAGATCTTTTCAAAGGCTCTCAACTTACTTAATTGTCTGCTGATGGTTGATATTCAAACTGGTTAGGTAGGTTTAGACTCCCAGAGCATTCACACCTGAGTAAAGCCAGTGTGTCTATGTGTGCGGGTGACTCAACACTATACACGTCAGCTACTAAAACGAGTGAAATTACTACAGCACTTAACCAATAAGAGTCTAAGCCCTGCCTAAGCCGGGGGGTCTAAGCTATATGGAATTGTTTTAAGAAAGTCATACCAAAGATCATTTAGCTATTGGATTTAGAATTTTAAGACCCCTTGAAGTATCAAAAAAATATGGAAGAAAATAATTATATGAAAAGTTGTGGGGGTCTTTACTGCTATAAACCCATACAAACGCATTGAATAACAGATTCACTACATGGAACAACAGATAATCCCCCAAAAAAATCAAAAGGAAGTTTGTTCTGAAGTGTCTGTCCTATATCTGAGAGATATAAGAAAGATCAGGATTATTATTATTATTTTATTTTTTTACATGTATTTAACCCCTTCTTTTTTGGCACTAAGCAGTGTAAGCCCTGTCTAAGCTGGGGGGGGGGGGGGGGGGGGTTCCGTCCTAAAGGAGGTTTGTTCTGTCCTATATCTGAGAGATATAATAAAGGCCAGATGAGTTTTTTTTGTTGTTGTTTTTTAAACATTTTTGGCACTAAACAGTCTCCAGATAAACAGTGCCTTCAGAAAGTATTCATACTTATTCCACATTTTGTTGTGTTACAGCCTGAATTCAAAATTGATTAAATATTTTTTTTTTCTGACCCATCTACACACAATAACCCACAATGACAAAGTAAAAACATGTTTTTAGAAATGTTTCAAATGTATTGAAAATTAAATACAAAAATATCTAATGTACATAACTATTCACACCCCTGAGTCAATACTTTGTAGAAGCACCTTTGGCAGCGATTACAGCTTTCAGTCTTTCTGGGTAAATCTCTAAGGGCTTTCCACACCTGTATTGTGCAACATTAGCACATTATTATTAAAAAAATTCTTCAACTCTGTCAAATTGGTTGTTGATCATTGCTAGACAACCATTTTCAGGTCTTGCCATAGATTTTCAAGTAGATTTAAGTCAAAACTGTAACTCGGCCACTTAGGAACATTCACCGTCTTCTTGGTAAGCAACTAGGTTATTGTTCTGCTGAAAGGGGAATTCATCTCCCAGTGTCTAGTGCAAAGCAGACTGAACCAGGTTTTCCTCTAGGATTTTGCCTGTGCTTAGCTCCATTCCGTTTATTATTAATCCTGAAATACACCCCAGTCCTTAACGATTAAAAGCATACCCATAAGATGATACAGCCACCAC